TGGGATTGTATTGGTGAGTTAAAATTTCCTTTCTGTGCTCCCAATTTGATATTGTCTTAGAGTATGCGCTTTCATTTTTCTTTCCATCTCTATGATTTTGGTTTGGTGAACAACTCTGTGTTTTAGGAATAGCATTGTATGACACGACACTTCAATACTACTTGAATTTGATGGAAAGTCGGTGGGTTTGGGTTGAGGCTAATCATGTTTTGTGTCGTAAACTGGTTGACCCAATTTACCCATTGATTACAGGTGTTGCCTTTGGTATTTATTGTCAATCTACTTGACACACAATTACAACATGGAGAACCTGTAAAACCCATGTTTTTTTCTATTATATTTTATTCCTTCATCATTTTTCAGGTGTAAATACAACTCATGCAACCCATCCGGCACAACATGACCTGTTTATTAAGCAGATCACCTAGAGTGTATTATGTCACCAATCTGAGGTTTAGATATTTTGATCAATTACATTGAACATGCTTTCTTTCTAAAGAGAATTGGCCATATAGTATATAGAAGAAGCATTGGATAAAGCCTTGATACAAATCAAAAAAGCTGATATTAATCGTGCCATGTTTTAGATTTGTCCATTTAGTGTTCCTATGCTTTCACACGACACATGTTTGCCACTCCTAGGTTTGTTGGAGGCATTCTCCGAACACATTTAAAACATATTTGAGAACATCTAATGTTTTAACAAAATTAACTCTGAAGCATAGACATGGGGTGTGGGCGTGACACAACACGGTGATGAAGACACCAGAAATGAATACGATCAACTTATTACGCGCGAATACACTACTTAGGTCAAAGTATTCATATTGGATACATATTAAATATTGTTCACATCGGATGCTAGAAGATACATATCTAATACTTAGTCAGCTAATTTCAATTTCTGGATACGTCTTAGATATGGACCAACTAAGATGAATACACCAATCTTCTCTATGTTTTTCATTGAAAAACCAATATGGCTTTGAAGACGTTTTTTTTTAAGTATTATCTACTAACATATGTCAAAAATACAAAGAATAGGCTGATTACACCTTATCTCTTGGTAACAACTACTTAAAAACCTGAATCATTTAATTATTCACATTTAATTTGTGGGTATAGCATGATGGGACGATATATGCTTTTTTGAAATCAAAAATTGCTTGTATTTATAAACTTATCATATTCTCCCATATTTGACTGCTTTCTAGTGGCTACATGGTCCAATTAATGGTGTTCTATATATTGTAATTATAGTGTTACATGACACAATAAAATCAGTACTTTATGATGAGTAAATCGGGTGTTTATTACTTTAGTGTGAAGTTTTATATTACTTGATAATGGTAGTCCAGAGTTCTTGTTTCTTTATAGACAACGTCTAGCAAGTATTGTTTCTTCATATTCTCAAATGCTCTTTGTAGTTTTTTTATGCATCTTTTACGTTTATTAGTAAATTTTAAATAAAACTTCAACATGATTAGTCTTAACAATTATAAATGTTATCTTATAATATATTTGATTGTCAAATTTTGAAGCTTTGTTAAATACATGTTGGCACATGTTTATCTTGTCGTAGAAACGACTTAACAAGTGTCAGATACGTCCTAAATTAAGATGTTATCCAAGGATCAAAAGATTCATGATGGTTGCATTCGAAGTTTTAAATTTTGATTCAATCATTGATTCATTTCGGTCTCCTTGAAAATGGATAGGTTTCGTCCATTTCGACTGATTTGAAACGAAATGTTGATCTTGATGTTATCTTTTAACTATGAACATGTCTATAAGTGTATATGACACATCCAAGAATGTTCAAAAGGTGTTAGATACTAACACGGTTACATTACCCTCTTAAGAGTATCCATGCTTCTAAGATGACAAAGCTTAGGAATAAGTCTAGCTGGATGGTTAAGTAGTGTGGAAGGAGTGTTGGTAAAGGAATAAAGGGTTGCAGGGATTCGTAGCGCACAGGAGTGTGTTTGTTTTAAATATAAAGATGTTGAGCCAGCTCTATTATGTTTGGTAGGTAGAGGTTAGACAAGAAATGGGAAATTTAAAAAAAAAAAAAAGGGGAAAGAGGACAAGGAAGATACTTTGGGCCAGCCAATCATGGACACTAAAATCAAATTACATGTGAGGCTCAAGACGAAAGGCGCTTGGCCAAATTTAGTGTTTGAACCGGCATTACTTAGTACCTAAGCATGATACAACTCTCTAATTTCTTGACCATGCATGCACATTTAGACGGGAGAAAATAGCTTAAAACCAGATTGGGCCTCCCCTATTTGATGGTACATGCGTTATGTGGAGATAGAGCTCTTGGACACAAAGAAGTAATCAGCAAAGCACTCACCCTATGACTGGCCAGAAAATGATGGCCGGGTATTTATTCTTGCATATTGGTTTCACACGTTGGGTAGCCAAGTGTGGAGCGGATTACTATTGAAAGCATCAAGTAGTAAGCCCACCTCAAGATGAGTGCTCTCCTATTCCGACTTCCCTTGAGCCTCCAGTAGCACAGCTGAGACGAAACAGAGGCAAAACCTAGCCTCCTAGCGAAATTTGCAAGTTGCTATACATGATGTTGACACTGTTTCATTGTATTAGATGTAGATAAACACTTCTATCAAAACCCAGGACTAGAAACAAGGCTAAATGGCTATATAAAAAATAGGGTTAATCTCATTTAACACCCCGAAAGATTGTTCGAATCTTAATTTACACCCTCAAAGATAAAAATTTGTATCAATATGCACCCCCAAAGATCAAAAATCTCAATTTGCACCCTCAAAGATAGAAATTTATATCAATGTGCACCCCAAAGATAAAAAATCTCAATTTGCACCCTCAAAGATAAAAATTTGTATCAATGTGCACATAAAACTAAATTGATAAATTATACCTAGATCCCCTCATACTTGTCATTTAATCATTTAGACCTCTTCACATTTAGAATATTACTCTTACATCTTATGACATTTGTGCACGTATAACACGTAACCCATTTTCATTGATATCTATTAATATAACCGTTAAAAAATATAATTTTATCTTAATAAAAAATTATAATTTCATATTACCCTTTATTTCATGGGTTCAATATATTCTAAAGTTCAAAATTTAGTTTACTATTTGAATGTCTAATAAAATGTAAATATTTATATAATGTTTTTCATATTACCTTTTATATAAATATCTACATTTTATTAGACATTCAAATGGTAAGCTTGATTTTCAACTTTAGAGTATATCGAATCCACAAAATAAAAGGTAATATGAAATTATAATTTTTTATTAGGATAAAATTATATTTTTTAATGATTATATTAATAGATATCAACGAAAAGTGGTTATGTGTTACATATTCACAAATGTCATGAGATGTAAGGGGAATATTCTAAATGTGAAGGAGTTCAAATGATTAAGTGACAAACATGAGGGGATCTAGATATAATTTATTAATTTAATTTTAGGTGCACATTGATATAAATTTCTATCTTTGAGGGTGTAAATTGAGATTTTTTATCTTTGGGGTACACATTGATATAAATTTCTATCTTTGAGGGTGCAAATTGAGATTTTTGATCTTTGGAGGTGCACATTGATACAAATTTCTATCTTTGAGGGTGTAAATTGAGATTTTTGATCTTTGAGGGTGCAAATTGAGATTTGAACAATCTTTTAGGGTGCAACATGAGATTAACCCTAAAAAATAAGATACAAGAGCAACCAATCGAGGATTGTAAGGGTGAAAGTAAAGCTCAAGTGCAGTTCGAAATAAAGTTACTCTTGGAATGGAGCTTCCTTCATTTCTCCTACTTTTCTTAAGCTTTGGTTTTAGGACTCGATTGTACGTATCAATCAATACGTAGCAAGTCGGCTTCAAAAATTAGTAAGGAATGAGTCTCTCTTAGGCTTCACGCAAAAAGAAAACTCTTATGTGCTCTTTCAAGTTAGTGAAATGCTTCATAGTATTGGAGCACAAACGCATAAGTATCTTCTTTGAAGCGGGGCTTCGGAAAGAAACTTTTCTTTCTTTCTCTTCTTTCTTTTTTTTATCCCTTCGACGAATTCAGCTATTACCAATGCCCCACTTGCGGAATAAGCGTAAGAAAGCTACCTAAAAAAAGCAAGGTACATGTTGGATTGAACTTTGCAAATTGTGTTTTGCCAGTGATTTTTTTTAGAAATATTCTCCATTGGAAATTCAAAAATAGAAAGAATCTAAATAAAGGCGCATATGCGGGAAGGGCCTGCCAAGGTAAGCCTTAAGCCTACCCTTGTTAAGCCTCATGCATGTATTGAACCTAGGCATAGCCCGCCAAGGAACTGTTTTACACTCGGTACGCATTTATCTCTGGGACCGCTTGATTAGTTGCATTAGTGGATTGAATATCTTTTCTTGTGCTTGTTTTGTATTAAGGTATACCTAAGATATGAGTCAAAATTGGTAACAGAAGGGGAGAGATTTCTTTTTTTTTCGTGAGGGCAAGCATCCTTCATTTGACTAATGGTAGGGCTTTAAAGAATAGGCGGTTTGTAAGTTTCTATGACCGTCAAATAAGTAGGAGAATACGCAGAGTGCTACATGGTATGAGAATGGTCAAAAGCAAGTGAGGCGAAAGAGGTGGCTCCACACCGGAGAATTGGGGATTATTAAGAGACCAGGAGAAGTTTGGTTTTAGGAAAAGCTGTTGGGAATAGAATTTTTTTGAATGGTACAACTTGGGGTTAGGAAAAGTAAAGGTCATCCCTTATTCCATTCCTTCAACCCAACAATCCAATATGACCAAAGTGTGATCTATTCATTCGCATCCTGTTCGAATCTATCTTTTGGCCTCGGTGGCCACTTCTCATTCATTTAGGTTTTGTAATCATTTCTACTATTAATCACTTGACAAGGTTAAGGTCCTTTGCATTATAGGCATTTGGAACCTAAGCAAGGAAGGCATTTGCTGCTTCTTCCTAATTGATTGACCATAATCACTTTTTAGGATAGTTTTCAATACCAATGCCATGCAAAGTGGTTTGGTTCAAGAACCAATAGAGATTCACACAATTCTATCACGCCAGATGATCACACTCACCAGCAAGGCATTATTTCCACTTTTGGTTGCTTGCAAGATAATAAGAAAGTTTTCTGTGTCAAATCCATGGGCAGGCTCTAGCTCGACCAATCTCAAGAGAAGACCAAACGCTGAATACCCCGGGTTTAGTCATGTGTAGAATGAAGCCAGTTGCTTTTGGGTTGATCAATTGATTGGAAGGAGGCAAGGGAGGTCCTTTAATCTAAATGGCATATATAGAGTCGTGGGGACAAACATTTGTACATGATTTAATAAAAGATAAGGGAATAATTTGAAACATATATGGTGGTTAATTCTTGCGAACCAAGTTGATTATAAGGCATTGGGTCCTTGGCAATTATTGATGCTCACGTGGTGCAGTTTGATGAACCTCAGTAGGATCTATCCTCTACATTTGTTTAATGTTTGGTATATGTAGAAGACAGAGTTGCTGCAATTCAGTTCTTTGTGTTGGAAAAGCAGACTTCAAACTAATTGCAATTCATGTGAAAATGGTGATTCCGTCTGGAGAAATTACAGCTGGACCCTTTTTCCACTCGGTATAGTTACATTATCCAGTTGGGACTGATAGTTTGAACAGGGTTATTTTCTATGGTCTTTATTTTTCAGTTTTAAATTTTTTAACTTCAGTTTATGCTTTTATTTGGCTTTTAACTTCATTTTTTCCTGCCACTTATACTCGTTTATTGAAAGGGCATTTTCTCTTTATATTTTGTGTGTTTGAGAAGGCCTCTGATTATATTCCATGCATTTTGACTTGCACATTGTCTACTTATCACATTTAATGCAGGTTGATGTGAAGCGGAGCATGGAGGAAGGTGAAAAACGATTCAATAAACTTTCTATTGAAGAGCGTGGAAAATTTGACGAAGAGACACTAGTCAATGTGAACAACATAAAAAAGCAAAGTGCCACCAGCCAGAGAGCTAGTGGATTCAGCAATGAATACATAGTGGTAAGGATCTAACAGATGGCTCCTGAAAGTTTCATCTCAGTTTCTTTTACTTAGTTGAATGGTGGGTTGCACTTAACTAGACTAGCTAAAATGGCATCTCACTTCCTATATTTTTCTGTTTGGGCAATGAATTGCCTAGTGCCTTTACTTATCAAAATTCTGAATGGTAGGATAGGGAGAAATTGCCGGGTAGTTTTTACCTCCATTGTTGATGAGGACAAAGCTGACCCCATTAATGGTAGCATTGTCATAAGATTGAAGTTCAGGAAACCGCATTCACTAGAGCCTTACTGATGACCTACTGAAAATAAAAAGTTTGCCTGATTAATCTCTGGTTGGCTGGTCTTCTGGTTAAAGATTATTAATAGTGAAAGATACTCGTGTTGTATACTCATCAAATTGGTGATGTTTGGATTAATCGCTTGTATCTTTCTTGTTTTTGTTTTTGACCTTTCTCCTGCAATCGGTAGGTCAATTAAAGTAAAAATAGATGCATTTAAAAGGCAGCCTCCATATGCTTATTGTTTGATTTATTGTCATAGGGCTCTGATCTATATGAATTTAAGGCCATTAACAATTTAATAGGGGTAGTTAAATTGGAATTTGCATATTATAGTGTTTTCGAAGCCTGAATTCTGGATATTTCCGACATCAGATAACAATCTTGGTGGCTGCCGAAGGCATTCACAAACTGCCAACCATCAATAGCAGCAGAGACCTGAAGGAAGCCTTGCAAAAGATTGGCTCTATTCCCTCAAATAGAACTCTGGTAAGTACAGAACTATTCCTGATTTGATGTCTAGAGATCGCTTTTCTTCCATCTCTAACAAGATTGATCTCCATGCAGGCAGTTGAGGTATTATGGACCCCTCAGAATGAGAATGACACGTTGTCCGAGCGAGAATTGCTTGAAGATTACCCACTATTGCGGCCTCTATAATCAATAGTTTGCTGTCTTTGTACTTTCAATAAAGAGTCGTTAGCTATACTGCTTTCATGATCCCAAGTACAGTTCATAGAAGTAAGAAATGTGCATAGTATAGGAATGTTCCATTTGTGTCGGGTTGTGTAGACTGTAACCATACATGTTAAGCCCAGAGGATGTATACTAAGGCAAATCTTTATTTTCATCAACTCTGCTAGGGAGGGTGTAGTAACTTGAGCCAGCTTTTAAATCACTAGTCATTCACTAAAAGGGTGGTTTAGTGGACAACGCTCCCATTATTGTGGTGTTTAGAAAGGGTTAGATGTACGCAGTTTTACCATTTAAGCAAGATGTTATTTTTGTGATTCGAACCTTCGACACTGATGTCACAATAAAGCAACTTTCATTGTAGTTTTTCATTTTGCTCAACCTTAATTGAAAGGTATTCACTATAAGGTTGAAATTTTCAATGGTGAGCCTATTGTAGGTTGGGATGTAAATATTGTGTATTAGTGGTATCACTAGCTGTCACCCTGTGATACACAAAATTTATAATATTTCTTCTCCGTCACCTCTACTCTCTCTAATCCTAACATTACAAAAAAATTATTTATTAATGCGATGGATTGATATTTAAAAAAAATTAGATGTGAAGTAGTTAATAAAGATAATGAGAAATTCAAATGTGAGGTAGTCATTGAAGAGCTGGCAGTATTTACCTAGGGCACCACATGTTGAAATTTAATTGGAGGAAGCAAACCATTTCTATTAAAAAATTTAAAATTACGAGAAAATAGAATTTAAAGAGGAAAAACTTCTCAATGAGTCTCTCTCCTAAATTGATTTTTACAGTATATAGTACTAGTGGGTGTCCTATGCGATGTACCAAATTTATAACATGTATTGTTTGAGCTAGTTCCATCTCACCTTTGCAGTCTCTCTTTTTCTACACATAATATGGGTAATTCAAGAATTATTACAGTTTATAGGGGATTGAAACAGATTTTTTTTTTTTAAAAAAAAATTTGAATGGAGGGTGGTTACTTTATATTGGTCAACTGTTGGTTGTTGTTTGGAAAATACTTAACTTTGTAATTAACTAAATAAAAAGTTTAGAAATTAAGAAAAGTTAGAGGGAAGACTTTTCAAACCATCTCTCCTAAAAAATTATTGTTTTATTTATATTTATATATATATTTATATCTATACTACTAATAAAAGTGACTTCAGTGAAAAACTTTTAATTTCTTTATTTACCCTTCAATAATTCTATAATATGTACTTTATCCTTTTAAAAGTGAAATAAAATAAAAACTTTTGATTTTCTTATTTATCCTTTAAAAATTTTATAATGTCTACTTTATCATTTTTTGAAGAATTATTATTATTTTTTTATTACTTGCACTAATTCAACTAATAAAATCATTAATTGACTTTTGATTATCTTTTTTTTAAATAATACAAATTCAATCCAAATACAATTTGCACAATGTGATTTGAATTCAATTCAATTGTCCAATGAATTTTATTTTCATAGTGGATATATGAATATACTAAAATAGATATCCGTTCTGATTCAAATAAGTTGATTAAAAACGATTTTAACATCTAACACATGGATTTTTCCTCAATTTTATTAAATAGTCACTAAATTACATTATATGTTTTGTAGGTATGTAGTGCATATCTAAATTTGTTAAAAAACAAATATTTGAATAGATCTAATAATCTATATATTACTTCTAAATGTCAATGTTTGTTAAAAAAATTTAATCGATAATACTATCCTTAAAAAGATAAAAAAATATAATAATAACAAATTGTAGTAACTTTTTATTGGTCTAAAAAATTAGTAGTCATCTAACTATTAATCACTTATTGAAATTAAATATTACAATTTTTAAATGTAATTAAATTGATACCACCCAAAATAAGAGAAAAGTCTTGAGCCGAGTACGAACGATGGGGCATCGATCTCATGTTTGGAATGTGGGAAATTTATCTATTTTTCTAAAAAATAAAATAAAAATACTTGATCAACTCGTTAATTATAAATGCTGGCATCAATGAAAAATTTTGATTTCTTATTTTATCCATAATTTTTATTATAAAGTTAATGATACCCATATATTAGTTTTCTCTAATTTTTATTTTCTATACTTGTTTAACTTTTAAATTTTTTTGAACTATTTTATTAACAATATTTGACTTCTAAACTATAATATTTAGATTCAATTTTTATTTCCTATACCTATTTGACTTATAAGTTTTTTTAGACTTTTTTATTAATGGTATGTGATATTTAAATTCTTTTGGACACATTTATTAGTAATGCTATAGTCCAATATATGTTATAGTTGATTTTTTTTTGTATACAACAATATCATATTATTACAATTCAAACAATAATATTGTAATTTAATCAATTTCTTTGACAAAAAAGGTAATAAATTTAAAATATAATTAGATGTGCAAATACTCAAATAATCTTATAATGAAGATTCATTATAAATAAAAGAGAAAATATTTAATGAGTCAGAGAAATATTTAAATAAATAATAAATTAGATACTCGAAGAGTGGTAGAATAGATCAATAACTAGGTTTAATTATTTAATTTAATACCCATACAATTTAATTTTTTTTATGAAAAAATTATCATTTAAATATATTTACATAGCATTTTGTACATTGCTAGTATATATAAATAGACGTATAGGTGATTTCTTTTACTGGGTGTGCGAAAAGAGTGTATATTGCTGCAGATTATCTTGAAAATGCCATTTGCAGTTTATATACACGAAGGGAACTACTAAATGAGATCATTTGTTAAGAAAGACCACTATTCAGACCAATATACGCAGAGAGAGAGAGAGAGAGAGAGAGAGAGAGAGAGAGAGATTCTTCATGGATGTCATCTGTTTAGTCACGCCATGCAGCCCAAAAATGAAATGATGGCTTCCATATGTAAGACTATTTGCTACTGTTGCTCAAAATATGCCGGGGTTGACTGAAATCTCTCACTCGACAAATAAGTTTTGGGACTTTCTTGGGTAAAAACAATGGAATTTTTCCTGGACAATGGTGAAGTTAAAACATAGATTTACAAAGAAAATTCTTTCATTAATCCAATAAAAGGACTTCGATTACAAGAGACTGAATGAACAACCTTGATTATAATACTAACTGCTCTTAAAATTAATCTGAAACTAATCTTAATGATGCCCTGATCGCGAGTCTTTTGGGGTTTTGAAAAGTGTCTTGCTTCCTTCATTGGATGCCCTTTTATAGCCATCTTCTTTGATGGTTTTGCTCCCATCGGCGGTTACCTAATGGTAACTCTTAGTTGGTTATTTCATTCTTTTCAAGTGTGATTGCAACTGATCACCTCCCGCCTTTCTTAAAATTTTGTCACTTGACACTTCGTCAGGTGTCGATACTGAATATTCATGAAATTTTATATTTAGGTCCAAAAAATGTCCCCCTCATTTATTTGAGTTTGACTAATAACTTAGATAAATGAACAGTCGTAAACCGTTTAGTCTTTGAACATATATTTAAAGGGTTGGCTGCTCCACTGTTCACTTAACCCTATCCTCGCACTTCTTGTGATCGTATCTTTCTAACTTCCGACAATCTTCCTTCTTGTTTTCATTCTTTGATTCTCCCAAATGGCATCCAAGCGAAAGATGGATCAATCCTCCTCCTCTGTTCCTTCTTTGAATACACCTTCCATTCCTTGTTTTCTTGACAACATTAGATACACAATTCGAGACTTCATAGATGACGATTTCTTGATCCCTTCTTTGGATTCAGGCTCAAACTTTGCATTGGGCCATGCTTTTAAGTTAGATATCTTCCCAAGGTTATCTGAGTTCTATCCCATTTCAAAAAGGGAAACCCTGACACTTCACCAACTTCACCTCAGATGGAAATCTCTAGACCAACAATGGATTGATTGGGTAGAAGGAATGAAGAAGTATTTCTCTGACCAATGGAGGTGATAGAACATCTATGAGCAGATTAAGCTCTCAACGAGTTCACTGTACATGAATCTTTGACTAATAAGTGCATCCATTTGTTTCTGATTGCAGTCTTACAATGTTATGTTTCTTCCTCTTGGTATAATGTCTCCATCTATCCTTGATGTTGTACATCGACGAGGCTCTCATTGATTGGAATAGAGATAATTGCTTGTCTAAAGTCCGAACATGTTTTGTACGACCTTCCAAATAACTTCAATTATTGATACCACATTTCCTACTTTTGTAAGCCAAATTTTGTTCCAACAAGTGGCTTTTCTCTTTCATTGGCTCTGTTGCTTTGTTCCTTGTATCCAGCCTTTGGATTACTAGGAAATACTTCAACATTGTTGTCACATCCCATCCTGAGAGACCTCCTTGATTTTTCAGAGTGAAAGCGTAGCTCGACACGTATCAATACCTGCGTTTGTAATACAATAATGCATTTAAAATTAATAATACCCCTTAATAACACCGTAAAACAGATAACTATATAATAGAGTACACAATAGTGTCATTTGTACCAAAACAAAAGATTAGAGATTTTATCTCTTTACAACAAAAGGGAAAAACAAACTATCCTATGCAATATGTACATAGCCACTTTCCTTAATTTTCCTCCATCTCTACCCTGATAATGCAATAGTGGACCTTACCCTAGACTTCAGCATTCTGAAACCAATAATTTTCTTGACTGTAATGAACATCATAATCAAAGGAAATATAACAAAAATATGGATTAAATATAATTCCACCAAAAAGATACTCATAACCCGTAATTCACCACCAAAGTGAACTCAACTCACTTTAAAACTCAAATCAATCTCATATATCAAAGTAATAAATACTCACATAAGAAACGAGCCAAACAATAACATTTAGGCAATGTCAAACTATCTCACAACAATTGTGCAATGTCAAAATCAACAATATGTAAGTCATGTCAAGCTATTAACAACTCAACACAGTTGATAATATTAAAATCACAAATTTT